ATAACTTTTGATCTAATCAATATTTTTTGACGCTCGAGGGCTAGTTTTGTAGGTCTTCTGAAGATAAAAAAAGTACTTTACTCTTTACTGTTTTCTCGTGGTAATGAACAGAAAATATATTTATAAAACGTAAAACGTGAATTTATGGAAAAATTATACAATTAACCATTAAATTTATAAGTGAATGAATGAATGAATGAATGAATAAATAAACAAATAAAGAATGTTACGTACTGACGGTATGTATACCATGTACTTTATAGACCAAATAATTTTCAACAGTAGTTCTTTCACTAAAATGATGATGAGCTAAGTAATAACGAAACGTAGGCACTCCAGTTACGAGAACCCTATAATTTGCGTTATGAAAAAGTACATATTTACATACTCGTTGCACGAGAGGAAACAAGCGTTTTATATATTTCGATTACGCCGGATAGGGTGCGTTTTCCTATATAAGCCGTTTTCACGACCCTTCCTCCCCTTCCCCCCAAATAAAAATCGTGACCGAGGTGACGCATTGTCAAAACGCGCCCTTGAGCCCTTATCGGCGATCTTAAATAACTACAAGTCAAACAACGTCGACATCTGATAAGGGTGAAATATACGAGAGGCCGACGAGAAAAACTGAATTAAACCTCTATTTAAACGCACTCGGAGCGAGGTCCGGACAATCAGTTTTTCCCGTGTCACAAGTAGACACTCGCGCGGTATCCAAAGCCCATTGTGCGCCCGTTTCGATAAGCAGCTTTAATTTAAATATCTAAACGGGGTAAGTGACGTGCAATAATACTTCCTTCCTTTTTTTTCGGGGCCTTGATACGGCGGGTGCCGTTGATGTATGGCCTGTGCCGCTTGACAAGGGACCGTATAATTTTCGGATGCCCTGGCGAGGGCTGGTGGTTCACGCGAGCGCTGGATATGGCTGTTGTAATTTTTAATGTGCGTACGTTTATTCTGGAAATGAACGTCAACAAAACATTACTACGTGTTTAATATTTGTTCGCAACCTTGCTTTTTTAAATGTTTCAAAGATCAGTTAACAGAATTTGCACACAGAAGAATGTCTTCGTGCGAATATTTTTTTATTAAATTCCAATAATTCTGACTCCACAAATATGATTGTGATGTAATTATGGATAAAACGTATTGCATTCATGTTTTAATTGCCTTTTATCCACCTAAAAATATTAAACGTTCTTGGGTGGATAAAATTCTACTTAAGGACGGGATTTTGTACAAAAAATATCGCCCAGCGTGAGTCACGAAACGGTACCCCGGCAAGTGCTGCTCTAGCTCTAGCGGCGAACGCTTCAAGGTGTGTTGTTTAATAATTTACGCTGGACCGATATTTTAACAGGCCTCGCGCCCGATTGTTCAGGAACAGCTCCAATTTGTGTACATGCAGTCTTATAAGGAAAGAGAGTAAAGATTTTATTAATCAATAATAGATTATCGAGGACAATAATAATTTTTTATTAAGTAGGCAATAATTTTTAGTTAATAAGTTTAAACAATCTTAGAATTACCATTCCTTTATTATAAAAGCAGATATAATTTTTAAAATTCCATGTAGTTTCTTCTTCAAAAGCTTAAAAAACGTATAGCAGGAATAGTCAACAGTCTAATGTTTATATTTTCACGTTAACAATCCGATACGTAAATTACCTGCTATTTTCAGTAAAAATGATATAACTTGAATTATTTTTTTACTTTGGTGAGTCGTATTAATTTAAAAAACACTGCCTAATTACTAAAATACATAGAAACTTGCTACTAATTACGTTTGGAGAATAATATGTATAGTTGGGTGGTCAAAAAAAAACGATTTTTTTTTCGTGTCTCTTGTGAAAATATGTTAGTTTATCATGTTTTAAGAGCCCCCTCAAAAAATCAGCTCAAAAAAATTTTTTTAAAGGTCGCTCAAGATTTTTAAAAATTTCCAAAATCGTCAAAAATTGAATTTTTTTTTTCATTTTCTAGATTGAAAAAAATCTCGATTCTGAAAATTTCAAATCGATATTCACTCATAATTACTTTAATTTTCAGAGTTGAGCGACCTCTAAAAAATAAAAGATTTTAAAAAAATTAAAAAATTATAAATATTTGATACTCACAGTGCGGTAGTAAATTTTGCCTCGAGACATTTATTAAGTGTCGTGATTCATTTCTATTATTTTGTTGATCAAATTCAATGAAAAAAAAATTGTTAGTTCGTTGATATTTATTTTTTAGAGGTCGCTTGAAAACGTAGGTACTTACCTACACTACTTTGAAAATTAAAATAATTATGAGTGACCTTTAGGAATTAAAATGTCGATTTGAAAAAAATAACGGGAAAAAAAATTAAACAAAAATAATTCAAATTTTACTGACTATAAGTCGCGCTATCGTCTTTAGTACTGTGAAGGTCATTTGTCTCGAAAGCTCTTTTTTTATTTTTAAGCAAAACAGAAGGGGATGCTATCTCCGTAAACAACAATCTGTTTAAAAAAGAAAAAAAACTAACTCAAGTAGTAAATAATTGTAAACAACAATCTGAAAAAATTTGTTAAAATAATACAGTTATAAAGGCTATACTGTATACTCTGCATCGGACCGTGAACGCAATTGACCATTCCGATACTGTTTTTAAGAATATCATATTTATAACTGTATTATTTTAATATATTTTTTCAAATTGTTGTTTACAGTTACTTGCTACCTATGTCAGTTTTTCCTTTTTTTAAAGAACGCCATAATTGCGGAGATAGCACTCCCTTCTGTTTTACTTAAAAATAAAAAAAGAAGATCTTTTGAGACAAATGACCTTTACAGTATTAAAGACAATAGTTCGACTTACCGTCAGTAAAAATTGGAATTTTTTTATCAGTTAACAAAAAAATTACGACGAGTTAAAGTGAGAGGTATCAATAATTTTATATGCAGAAAATCGTGATTTTTTCAACATTTTCATTAATAACTAAAAAATGGGACAACGAAACCAACTGAAATTTTAGCACACAATAGAGTAATAGTGAGGCTATATATGGTCGAAATTTCAAATTTTTTGCACCTACGTTTTCTTAATATCGGTTTCCAAACTCAGAGGTCTATTTCATTTATTTCGATAGTAAGTGACTAAAAATAAGCAAAAGTTGATTGTCAAGACAACATGAAATTAAAATCGTGTTAGTTATATTCATATTCTAGAATCTACTACTTTTTTGGTCGTAACTTTTTTCATTAAATATCCAGTGGTTTCCTTCTTATCGGTAAGTAGCTTGAAGATTTGTAGATTTGTAGATTGAAGAAGAAATCTACCTGAGCCAGGCTAATTTTTAAGCTGTAAATTTATTTTGGAGCTACCAAGGAAGTACGATTATTAATAAATAACGATTTTATGTGGGACACCCTGTACGTAAAATTTATTCTTTATTCTTAATAAAGAAAAATTAGTACATATTATTGGTTTTTTATGCGTTATATTTTCGTACTACTTAAGCTTTACAAAATCTTATTACTTAGGTACTTTTAAAAAATTACCCATATTTATATATCAAAGATAATAAGAGACCATTATACTTTATTTTAGCACGCATTTTATAATAAACCACCTCTGTGTTTTCACTTTCATTTTCAAGGGTAGCGATACCTGTGACAGAGTATACAAACTAACTATACTCAGAAGATCTTAGAATCGCTACAATTCTGGTTTACATACAAAATAAAAATGGAGTCGTGTGTAAAATGTTGTCAATTTACTTGAGGACACAAATTATAGAATTATTAATAAATATTAATCTGAAAATTAGATACAAATGATCGTAGGTGTCCGTTCTAATGAGTGAAGTAGTTTGGTTATTGTGCCTGACCTAGTTCCGTCGTAAATGCAATATATTGACATACTAACAGTATGGTTAAAATTGAGGTACTTTGGCATTTATTTAAATTATTCTTCTGTTCTCATGAGCATTGAAATTTATCTCACTCACTAGCGGTAACCATTGCGAATACATTGATATATAATAATATTCAATTATGTTAGTTTCTTCGATGATTTGTGTCTTCATCTGAAGCTCTGTTACACGGTAAAAATATACATACTAAATCGACCCCTTAAAAATTTATCCAATAAATCACTATTAAGTTTCTATAAAACAATATTCTGCATTATAAATCACACAAATTCTAATTATCCGAAAAGTTATGTCTCAAAAGACTTCTGAGGAATGTCTTGACTCGCAATAGGTTACATTACAATTGTATTTTTGTACAATTTTTATAAAAACATGCAAGCAGTTAATACAGCATTTAATCCCTTAAAAACACGTTTATTGTTTAGTAACACATGTAACAACTCTATTTTCACAATTCACGGCAACGCAATTTTCACTTAATTACCTTTTAATTAAAAAGCGACGCATTTTAAACTATGAATAATTCAACTATCCGTTTCCGAACGGCGTAAAAATCTTGCCGGATTAAAAGCACAAAGCCGTTATTCGGCCGCTGTTTGTTTATTCATTGCAGCGTGTCTTTCGGTAATTAATCAACAAAATAACGTTTTCATTGTCGACGACGGCATGTTATCATAAGCGCACCTCTTGTTCCCGGCCCATTGTTCCCGGCTTGATCGCGGTTTTTGTGAAATGTTTTACAGCCTGTTAATTTCGGATTTATTTATTCGCACCGGGGGGCGGCGGCGGCGGCGGGTGGCGGGAAAAAAGGGTTTAAGAATATAACGCGCTTCTTTGGGGGCCTTTCATACATTATTTTCTCGATTTGATTAATTTCCCTCGCCGCGGAATAACGAAATTAAAATTTAATCTACAGTTCACAGCGACGAAGAAGTAAATGCGTCGTAAATAATCGGTTTTTTTGAAGGTGCATTAGAAAATGTGGATTAGGAATTGGAAAAAGTTGATTACTTTCGGCGATAATTAATTTTCTTGCGAATTTATAAATGTTTTGATGTAATCGCCAATTTTTACACTTAATATAAAACTGGGGGTACTTACATTGCTCCTACGTATAGGACATCCCTTTTAACGTCTAAGTGGAATGTGCGGTAGTACATCATACCGCAGGAGAACCCTCGTACGTGGTCTGAAATAAAGAAAAAATATTTTAATGCATATAAAAGCGTCTTAATTTGACATTGTTGGTAAATTCAACAAAATAATTGCATCATATTATACAAATATCGGAGTAGAAATAGGGGAGAAATACTTCCAAATAGTGCGAAAATGACCTAAGGCCAAAGGTCAATGACCTGAAGTCAACGGTCAATATTTAATGTCAAATGATCACATCATATTACTATGCAGAAGTCTACAAATATCAAGGTAGGAATAAGGGGGAAATACTTCCAAATAGATGGAAATACATCGAAAACTTTTAACTATGTGTGTATACCTGGTAAATAACCTGAGCTCAAAGGTCAGTTACTCAAGGTCGAAGGTCAGTGACCCTCGGACGAGAGCTAATGACCCGTAGTCGAAGGTTATTGAGCCAAGATTGAACATCAATGGCCTAAGTTTGAAGATCAATGACCTAAGATTGAAGGCAAGTGAATTGAGATTGAAAGTCAATGATTAGAATTGAATGTCAATGGTAGGTCAAATGTCGGTGACAGGAGGTAGAACTTTAGATCAGTGGTTTAAGGTCAAAAACCGACGACCAGAGATCGAATATAAAATATTTTCCGATTAATTTTTAGATTTTGTCAACTTTTAACCTATCTTTCCAAATTTCTAATTTTCCGCTGTCGCGCTCAAACCAGCTAAAAAATTCTCGGAATGTAATGAAATAAATAAAAGACAACACCCCGTACATCATTCAAATACACCTCCCAGAAGGATGGCGTACTTTTAAGATGCAAAAAACGTAAGACGCGGAATCTAGCCAGGGTCCAGAGAGCCGCATTAATACGAAGCCAGCAAGAGAGTCGCATGTTAGTCCAATTAACTAAGCCTTTAAATCGAAATTTTGCCAACTTGGCTGAATTTTTGATATGAGTTAGTTTAAGGTATATTATAACAATAAGTGAGAGTAATTTTTTGTTCAACCCCCGGCCAAGGGTGGAAAAAGATAAAACAAAGGGCTTTTTCAAGATAACTCAAAAAGGGTAAGAGCTAGAAAAAAAAGTTTTTCATGAAAGTTGTAAAGCAGACAATTCTACATAAAAATGGCCTCTTAACTTTTTCTTGTACTATTACAATTAACAGAGTTAGGGAGGCTAGAAGTTAAGGGAAGATTTCAGAAATTTAAAAAAAATCATAACAAACAGAAAAATGATTGAATTTTGTAATTTTTTTTTTCAATCTGCTCTAAAATATGTAACTTTTCTTTTCAGAGAAATAGATATATTTTTTAATTTTTAATAAGAAAGTTATAACAAAAAATCAAATTTTTAATCGTTAATTTTAATGATTTAACAAAATTAAATTTCTGAAATCTTCCCTTAACTTCTAGCCTCCCTAACTCTGTTAATTTTAATAGTACAAGAAAAAGCTAAGAGACCATTTTTATGTAGAATTGTCTGCTTTACAACTTTCATGAAAAACTTTTTTTTCTAGCTCTTACCCTTTTTGAGTTATCTTGAAAAAGCCCTTTGTTTTATCTTTTTCCACCCTTGGCCGGGGGTTGAACAAAAAATTACTCTCACTTATTGCTATAATATACCTTAAACTAACTCATATCAAAAATTCAGCCAAGTTGACAAAATTTCGATTTAAAGGCTTAGTTAATTGGACTATGTAGAAGCTGCCGTAGTGCGAACGAACGTCAACCTTGGGAATCGTCGGTCCTTTAAGCAGGAAAATAATCCTGCCCAGTGCTCAAAATTTTCGCAACTATTCTATATGTAAATGTCTATAACCAATATCTATTCTCAAACATATTGTAACATGCTCAAAAGTCAACAATAAAGCAGAATTATAAAATTCTATATTTGAGTTATATTCAATTCAAATAACCACACGAGCTTAGAGCTCATACAGTTCCTCAAGCTGCTCGCCTAGGTCAGTTCCACCTAGGACGTAGACCTTCAAAGGGTACTCCAGCTCTTCAGTTGCTCAGCTCTAAAACTGACATACACTAGCACTCCCACGAGGCGCAGTGGAAAATGCTTCCAAAGCTTACAAGCGTTCGAATAACTATTAGAAACTAAAGTGTTCCTTAAAATCCGTGCAAAAAAACTATGCAGGGAAATTAGAGCGTGGACCATTATCCTGACGCCATCTACAACAAGCTGAAGACTTTGGAAATCTAAGGAACTAATTGAGATCCGCAGCTAGCTGGACATCTTAACTGGCTATTCTGTGACTTGGCGCCCGAAGTGGGGTCCTGTCGCTAAATAAGCCAATGCCCTATCTTTTAATTCCACAACAGCTTGTACTATCTGCTGATTGGATAAGCACAATTTTTCGGTAACGCGAAAGGTTTGATGTCTTTTGCTTACCTAGATTTCTGGTATGTTCTTTGACTTCATTTGATAGGATTTGTTTGAATTAGCTTAATACCTTAATGAAGAGTAAAAAAAATTTTGCCATCTCGTCTAGATATTCTATATTCCGAACTATATTCCTATTCCTATTTAGTTGACGATATTCTCTAATTTTTTGTAAATAATCTTCCCGACGTGCAACTATACGTCATGATTCCATAATTATCATACGATTGTCAAGTTTTTTATGTTTTAAAACCGCATAGTAACACATATCGTAAAGTATCTAAAGATTTATAAATATAATCAGGATAATCGCTTAATTTATCTCGAATTATGTTTAACGTAGGAACTTTATTTTCTTTAGGTATACATATTATAAATTGTGCGCCGTATTACATCTCTGGTAAAATCGTCAATATTCTTTAATTTTGAATTTTTTTCGTTTCCTCTTTGTACTGTGATTACGAACGTCTCCTTTAATTATGCGATAAATTGACGTTTTTGATATCATAGTTAATTCGCTAATCCGTTTCCTAATTTCTTTATCACATTGTTCACTATTTTCTCATTTCAAACATTCATATATTTAAAATACATAATACGTAAAATAATTACATATATAATATTTATTTAAATAACTATTACCCTTTACTGGTTACGATATGAATAAATAATAATATTAACTAATAATTAATAATACGTACTGCACTGGCAAAACCAAGTGAACAGCGTTCGATACTAAACTAATTATAGAATACCACGCAAAAAATTATTTACGAACTAGTGGACCAATACAGGTTTGCTTAGACGACCAGCCGCCGTCGATTCTACATCAGGCGGACTGGTCCACTAATACCGGACTCGCCCAATGGCTATTCGAGTATAAATTACGAGATAAATAATGGCTGAAGCACAGGAAGAAATTTCAAGAGAAGTGCAGACGGTCCTGTGCTTTAAGATTCACAGGTTCCAATTGATATCGTAACAACTATACCAAAAGGCAATTAAAATCGTAAAAGAAGCGAATAATCGTTCGTTTATTGGCAACGCGGCGACTAAACCAACAGCTCTAAACATCACAGAATTTTGTTAATTGTTCTTTTTTCTTGTCACTATTTTCTTTATTGTTGTTTTCGGTGGTCTAAAATCTAAACAATCCATTTATTTTACCATGGAGACTAGATAAGGAGCACGAACTCATACGGAAAAATTGACAAAATTTGTCCTAGAAATGGCAGAAGTTGGGGTGGCGCTAGTGTTCCATATGACCCAAATGAATGTAGCTTCATAAATACGAGTGAAGTAAGCAAATAACCAATTTTATTTTATTTATATTGAGTTTAATAGATATATTGGGGAGCGGGGAGGTATACTAACCTAAAAACTAGAAGTCAAGTCAATAATTATTACAATTTGTTTTTATAAATGGTAAATAAAAAGTTTCGAAAATAATTTAAATATGGTAATAGTATGTGAAGTGAATGACTGTCAACAGATTTAAAATAAAACAGTACGTTTGTGATCTGCATTTTCAATCTAATGATGTCCAGCAGTTCTATATTACAACTTGACCGAATAGTGGGTTAATATTATGGCAAAAGGTCGAATAATTCGGAAGTTGGAAGCAGCTTCTTTGATTCTTAATACGGTAGAGAAATTTTTAAATAGAAAGATTTCATAAGTGAAAATATTGTATAATTGAATGATGCATTGTTTCTTTATATATTTTGCAGCAGCATCAACAGCAAGAGCATCCGCTACACCAGCAACAACAGGTGCAGCAGCTACAACAAGAGCAACAGTTACAACAACAACAACAACAACAACAACAACAACAACAACAACAAGAACAGCAAGTAAATCAAGAGCAATTAAGTTACGATGAGATTATACTAGAAAGTGAGCATCCTGTCCTGTATAATCTAATAAAAGAAAAGTTCTGTTGACGTGTGATGAGGTCTCGACAAAGCAACTATGAATATGTTCACATAATATTGACAATAGCAACAAAGTATACTTTATTTATTTCTACATATTCTTGTAATTTATATTACGTGCATAAATAATTAAATTCGTATCTTTCATATAATTCTTGCTGGTGACATCGCTATTATCATTACTGAATTGAATAAATCATTTCCAATTAGTTGCTGTTTCTTTCCTGTTAGTAAAAAACTGATTGAAATTCAGATATCATATAAAATTTAAAGAGAGGATACGTGTAGTAATTGATGCTGATCGATCTGTATTGGTAATTGACTACTTTTACTAAATATTTAAACATGGAAATCAATTGCTTCATGAACAAAATGAAATTTTAAGAAGATAGACTGACACGTATTACTTATTTTTAAGTTGTTTTATTTGTAATATATATTTACTTTGTTACTTGTTTGTTATGAATAAATATTTATTTTATTTTAATTAGGCACAAATAATTTCGTTTTTTTTATTCAATTAATAAAACATTGAAATCTTTGGTAGATAAACATTTTATTTTTACAAAATATATAACAAAAATATAGAACATTGCTAAAATATTTCTTTATAATACCTTATTAATTTTGGTCTATACTCTACCTTGGAATAAGTCATGGAACCATGTTACGTTCGAATTAAATCAACAATTTTACGAAAGTAGAATTAAATTTTACAG